TCCCTTCCAACTCCTAAGATTCTGTGATTTTTCTGCTAAGCTTCCCTCAAAGTGTTTATTGTTATCAGTGGTTACACACTTGCTTGTCTTTATACTGACTGGGTTGGTATGTGGATAATGGGTAGACTTGCATAGGATTACTTTATATATGCTTGACTCACTTCACAAAATAGGACATTTCACAATGATAAATGTTACACAATCTTTGCAGCAAAAAGAATTTAGTGCCACAATGGTTTATGCCAGTAATCGTATGCCAGTACGAAAATACTCAACATACAAATATACCTAAACTATATACCTAAACTATATACCTAAACCAAAAGCAAACCACAACGGTCTTGAAACAATACCTGAATTCAAGATACTCACCAGATTCAGGGTTGGGATCATATACAGCTTTGCATTCCCTTGACCAGAGGACTAGTCTCAGCACTGAACAATCCTGAATGAGCCTCCTCTCAGCTCCAAGGATGGCCACATGCTTCTGCTGAATCCCTTCTGCATTGCAAGATGAGACCTCCTTGTATCCCACAGCCTCCCTTAAATCCAGATCCTTTCCCTGGGAGGCAGTTGCAGTATCACCCATCAGGTTCTCGTGGACAAGTACCCATGGGACGGAGGATCACACCAGATAACGCCCTGCTGGACTGAGATCAGTCTGTGGTCGGACAGTGACTGACTCCAACAGTGAACAAGGTTTTAAAAGAGCGTGGCTCTAGCAGCAATGTTGAGCTTCCATGAGTCAGAGTATGCTGTCTAAGGCTTTTGATCAGCATGTCATTATGTTAAGACATGACAGTGTGTTATGTCACGTGTGAGTATCTATTTACATTTGAAAACAGGAAAGGTCGTATGATGCACAGCAGTGACAATCAGTGCTGGAGTTTGGGTAGTATTTGTACTCCCAACATCTCACCAGCCCTGTAACAGAAGTACATAGGACTGAGGACCTTAAGAGCACCATGCTGAGATCAGGAATGGTCCTAGTGTGGTGAAAAGGAAGGATAAATTAGACTAATAGGGGTCTCTAACCACTCTTAAAGATACAGCCACAGAACATGCATATCTTTATATGCTGCTATGCTGAAAGAAGGTCACTAGGGTCCAGCAGCAGCAACAAAGCACAAGTCACTGGGAAGGAAGAGGAAGCCAAGATGTGAACAGTATCTTCTCACTAAGAGTATCTTGTCCTAAGTAGAAATCCAAACACCCTAATTCCTACAGGAAATTCATCTGCAGGGCAGCACCACCCAGCATTGTCATGAAGGAGCAAAGAACAAATCTTGCTGGTATTATATGTTCAGAAAGAAATAGTGAAGATGGGAAGGAGGAACTGCTATATGATACCAGTTCACTCAGTGACTTCTTTATTGGGTGCAAACAGTTCCAGCATGGAATAGCATCCTATGCAGGTGTTGACAGGCCGTTGTTCAGAACTGGCAAGCAGAATACTTGGAGGTTTCAACTTCAAGTTTTGGTTCAATAGAGATTTCAAATAAATGATGATTCATGCTGAGTTCTGACCAAGAAGTGGTGAAAGATTTTGTTTCAGGATTAGCTCTTCAGTGGGGAGTCCTTGCTCAGCTTCCACGATGCCCTGTTCTGTGCTGCCATGTACCACATGTACCAATGGCATAAAGGCAATAAAAAAGCAAGGCAACACAAATAGGAAAAAAAATGTTTAAGTGGGGTAAAAGAGCAGGCTTGCATAGGTCAGCATCAGTAGTTGTATATCAGAGAAAAAGCATTATTGAGCTTTTTTGTATAGAGATGCCACAAACCACTTCTTTCACTGTATTATTTACTTGTCTCATAATAATCTGCAATTTTAAAATATTCAATGCTATTTTAATAAGAATATATCCTCTGGCCCACAATACAGGTTTTCTGAGGGCTAGAAAAATAAAAATCTAGAAAACAGAGAGAAAAAAACAACTGCTGTTTTGCATCAATAATTATAGATGAAAAACAGCAGTTATAGATTACAATCTTCTACAGAAATAGATACTTCTTAATAAATGGTACCAATAAAATAATATTGCTGCATTGTTGCTAAAGAAAGCACATTGATAAGAAATTTGGGCAACTGGAAAGAAGAAACATAATTGCAATTGTAGTAGAGGATGTTATATCTCATTTGGACATAAGATTAATAGTGCATAGCTTCAGTTATGGTAATATGGGAAGGCTGGTGGCTGTGGGTCTTGTTTCAGATGATCCCTTTCATACCACCGTCCAAAAAGTGTCACAGTGACGACTGGTTTTGTTGGTCTTGTCTTACTTATCAAGCGTCCATCATTCAATACCTGATTGAAAAAGGTAAAAGAAGGACATGATTAAAAGAGTACCCATGACAAGAGCTCAGAAAGACGTAACAAAACAGGAAGAAGGTATGTCAGACAGTATCTCTTACTGAAACTAGCCATGAGCCAGCACTGTGCCCTTGTGGCCAAGAAGGTCAATGGCATCCTGGGGTGTATCAGGAGGGGGGTGGTTAGTAGGTCGAGAGAGGTTCTCCTCCCCCTCTACTCTGCCCTGGTGAGACCGCATCTGGAATATTGTGTCCAGTTCTGGGCCCCTCAGTTCAAGAAGGACAGGGAACTGCTGGAGAGAGTCCAGCGTAGGGCTACAAAGATCATTAAGGGAGTGGAGCATCTCCCTTATGTGGAAAGGCTGAGGGAGCTGGGTCTCTTTAGTTTGCAGAAGAGGAGACTGAGGGGAGACCTCATTAATGTTTATAAATATATAAAGGGTGAGTGTCATGAGGATGGAGCCAGGCTCTTCTCGGTGACAAACAATGATAAGACAAGGGGTAAGGGACACAAACTGGAACACAGGAGGTTCCACTTAAATTTGAAAAGAAACTTCTTCTCAGTGAGGGTGACAGAGCACTGGAAGAGGCTGCCCAGAGAGGTTGTGGAGTCTCCTTCTCTGGAGACATTCAAAACCCACCTGGACGCCTTCCTGTGGAACCTCATCTAGGTGTTCCTGCTCCGGCAGGGGGACTGGACTAGATGATCTTTTGAGGTCCCTTCCAATCTCTAACGTTCTTTGATTCTGTGATTCTGTGAACTAGTGACTTCATTAAAAGGTATTTAATAGATCTGATTATTCACTATGAGCAAGTTCACTCTGGGTATTTTGAGACAGTTTATTCCATTACTATCCCTCAGAGAGCCTAGCATGACACAGCTCCAGGATGTCCCATTACCTCAAACTCCCCGGGGGCCAGCTGCACCCCGCTGTACAAGACTTCTGGAAAGACATAGTTGGTGCCAAATGTGCCACTGAGGGAGAACATCTCAAACTTGGTCTGAGCCGTCTCCACTGGCTGCCCACACATGTTCCGATCTGTGCTCTTGCACTTGAGCAGCGTGCATGTCTGCAGGGAGGAGAAGACAACATAGTTGGCAAGACGGAAACACTCTGGCCTTGAGTCATCAAAGCTAGTGTGTGTTGGAGCAGGTGACCGTCACAGGATCTTTTTCATAATCTGTAAGTGACTCCTTATTAGTAGTAGCTTATTTTTTCATACCTTGATCTGATTGGGGTTATTCCAGATCTGCATTGCCTTAGTAGTCAGAAATAACCCATTTCTGACATAAGTGCTGACAGAGAACCTTATTTCATCCTTAAAGCCAAATCCTGTCACTTCCATGAATTCTTCCAATTGCCAGTTGTTTCGCTTGAAGGTTCTTTTACCACATGTCTTAGTAAGGTGAGCTTGTGAATGGAAATTTTAGGCAAACGAGACAAAGTTCTCCTCATGGGTACTTTGTGCAAGTGTATACAAAGGCCTTTTTATTGGTATTTGTGCATATTGCTAATGACAATTCATTGGATGGCCTGGTAGTCCATGGGAAATCTGAATTTTATGTTCTTTATCCAACTCCTGGTGAATGTATGTCAAGGTGATGAAGTTAGCATCTTCTGTTACAGCTTTGTGTTAGCAGTTGCAGCACACTGAGGAAGTTAGGAATGGCAACAGTTTCCTGTTGTCCTTAGGGCTAATCATCCAGCTGACTAATGTTTATGGATGTCATGAAGAAATATGAAATAGGACTAGCACTCCTGTGAAGATTCAAAGGATGCTGTCTGGTTTTGCTGACAGGTGTTGGAGGAGTTTTTCTATTTCTGTCAAATACTGGGGGATAGAAGGACTGTATTTGCAAACATCAGCAGTATTATTCATCAGCAAATGTGTTTTTGCGTTGAAATGCAAATAAGCAGAGAAATTAAGAATAAAATTCTCTCATTATGTTCTGAGGAAATGAAAAAAATACTGAGGGGAAAAGGAAGAATGGATATTCCTGTCTTCTCTAGAAAACTGAGTACTGGTAGAGACCATCTGGCAGCTTCCTCAATCACTGAAACAGATTTTCCAAGTGAGCTCACCAAGAACTAAGTTTATTCAAGCTACTTTCTTAAGTGTATTAGATGAGCTGTTTGCTGGCAAAGACCTACCCCCGTATCCTGGAGTCTGTACCACCTGATATGCAAAGGCTGCGTTGACAGACAGAAGTAACTATAAAAAGAATCATCTGCTGGCATAATAACTTAATTATGAAGGCAAAGAAGGTTTTCCAATATGGTTTTAAGCAAATTCAACCAGGATGTAACTCACTGTCTTCCCAAATATTTGATTAAAAAAGAGGAAGAGTAAACATTTCCAGTAAAAGGCATATGCCATTTCAGTAAACTTCATTGCCATGATTTGAGTAATGACAAAAAATTAACATTTCTGTGGCTTTATATTACCAGAGTGTCTCATAAAGACAGATACAGTTAACTGATTTTTAACTGCAACTGATGCAGTATACAGAGGAGATTCAGAACACTTACTGCAGATAGCCACAGAAAAGGACCTAAATTTAGGCAATACTGCACACCTCAAAAAATAGTGAGTGCATTCTGGGGACTTAAAAGAGGTTTAGTGACCTCTCTGCTGTATTTGGTGGATTCAAAGGTAAACAGACTTAGATGTTTTAGCAACTACTTCTCATTGCTAACAAATAGGACACCAGGACTCCAGCATACAAGAAAGGCACTGTCTTTTTCCCCCACAGAGCTGAAGGTTTCTCCCTGTAAAGAAGCTTCCTAAAATAAGTACTCCCCCTCCAGGGAATCATTACCTGCAGATAGTATTGTCCTTCAGCAACATGAAGCCCATCAAAAGCACCCAGCACATAAATTTCGTTTTCTCGTTTCCCTGCCATCTTGTAGCTCAAGTGACAGCAGAGATCCTTCTGGCAGACAGTGACATTCCCCTCAGGCTTAGTGAGCTCAGTGAGAGTGAACTGGTCATGGAAGATGAGTCCACTGAAATCACAGTAATTCAGTGAGAATCCTTTGACACTCAAAGAATATGAGCTCCACTTGACAGCAGGTGGGGAGGCAGGAGAAAAGCGAGGGTGTGAATCTAGTTCAGCAAGAAGGAGGCGACCATCCTCAGTTTTCATGTTGTAGTAATATGTTCTGGCTCCATCTGGTGCATAAATGCCGCTCCCTGAGGAGAGCATAACACTCAGTCCAAAAAGAATTTAAAAATTCATATATTCCTTTTAATTGTCCCTACTGCTAGCTTATCTGCTATTTCATAAATATTACAGAAATTTTAGTATCACCAAAGGTAACTACTAGTAACTCAGTACACAGAGCTCATGCTTTGGCAAAGAATAGCATTTATGTCCATGGGTGAGGTCTGCTCAGGCAGAGGATGTTATGTTATAGTTGTGTTTACGGTCTCCCCAGTCCTCTTTTCTCCTCTATGCTACAGAGTTCCTTGAGAATTCCTTTATTCTCAGCTAATTGATGTCAAAGGACACCATCTGCTGATTGAGACCATCCAAAACATAACACAGGTAAATATCACAGGCCTGTCCTGGTGAATCCAGGAGGAGATAGCAGCTGTCCGACCCCATTTACTCTGGCTGAGGACTCCTCCCCATGTGGGGAATTCATATCTGACCAGTGCCAAGCAACAGAGGAAAATCGAAGATCTGTCATACACGTCACTGCCAAGGAGCCACATAAAAAGTACAAGGAGAAGTAGCCTGTCATTCATTTCAAATAAGAAGCCCCAAGCCAATACTGTGGTTTCACAGCTCAGCGAAGAGCTGGCCCAGATGAAGTATACCATCTCATAAGTTAAGCTCTAGAAAATCAGTGCTACACTCTTAAAAGAAAATGCAGACTTCTTAGCAGTGTCACTGCAACAGGTCTGAAAAATAGGTTTTAACACTGTTAAGTTAAAGCTGTTAAGTACAGCTACAAATAAGACTTTCATTTCTCCAGAATAAATGGAGCCATGTATGCCATTTACAAGTACATTTAGAATTCAACATTCATTCACAGACTGAGAGGTGGAGAGAGGAAAAGAGCCTAAATTTCAGAAATTCCTACTCAGGTAGAAGGGGCAGCAACTTACTACTTGCTTAGGGACATTTAAAGAAAGAAAAGAAAATCATAAGATGCTAGAGAGAAGAAAACACCGCAAGTTTTGCTGTGCCTTGCATTGCACCAGTAGGGACAGTATTTGTCAGGTTTAAAATCTGATGAATAGACTCTTCACCTTCCAGATAAATACATTATATTCCTCTGCAAAATCACCTTGCAGAATAGGGAATAAAGATTCATGGTCATAAAGATTTTTCAGACAGAGTGAGAATTAATTACCTGTCATAGACATGCTCGTGTCATGCATATTGGCAGCTAGGAAGTTGACACCCATGCCCATAGCCCAGGCAGAATGAAACTCAATCGCAGTCAGGAATGGCAGGACGTTCATCCAAGCAGTCGGGAAGAGCACGGTGTCTACCTGCAAGTCCCTCACCAGGACCACGGCAGGGTCATGGAAAAGGATGTCGAAGCAAGTGAAAATGCCAAACTTCCCAAATGGGGTCTCAAAGGTGACAGCTTCTGGCTCTTTTGGGTAATCAAACTGAGTTTCTGACATAAAGAGATTATACTGTAGGGGAAGGAAAAAAAGAGAAACTAGTTAAAGGCACTTATTGCAATATCCTGGACTCATTCCCTAAAACTGTTCAGAATTGCTAGAGAAGTTTTTTGACCTGTGTTTGAAGCCTTGATGCGTAGGAAGTCATGGAAAAATTGTGTGATCAACATAATGCCCAAAAGAAGAATATGGGGAGACATGAATTGCCCTGGCATCTAGCTAGGAAAGCATCTGGATATCTGCAGGTCTGTTGGTGTTGGTCACCTGCAACTCCCATAAGAAAATTCTCTTTGCTCTCCCCACCTAGTTTATAATTCTGGTGACCCGAAAGACACACAGAAGAAAAATAATGGAAGAGAAGCATGGAGGATCTGGTGCCAAGAGACAGGATTGGCGATCTCGGTGTGGAGATACACAAAAGGACTGGAAGGACATAGGCCCAGCAGGAAGCGTCAGAGGGTACTGTGAGACTGCAGAGCAGAGAAGAAAATAGAAGTTGTGGTGATGGGGGAAAGGCACACGATCTCAGCCACCAGAAAAGTCGAAGTTTGTGACATTCTCAGCTTTCCAGCCATTCATTTATTCTTTCACTTTCATGTTTACTAAACCAGTCCTTTAATCTCCAGGTGGCCCAGACAATAAACATTCGCACGAAGCCAGAAAAAGAGTTCAAGTTTACTGAACATGTAACTCAGTGTCTAGGCCATGACAGGTGGCCTGGACAATAAACATGTGCACCGACCCAGAAAAGGGGTTCAAGTTTACTGAACTCGTAACTCAACGTCTAAGCACATGGGGGACCAGACTCACGTTATCAGCGTTCCCTTCACCAATTTTGCTTACAGAGAAATATCTTGGCATTGCCTCTGAAGAACCAGATGAAATACTGGACCTGAAGTGCACTAAATAAAAACTGACTTCAGTCTAGACACATCAGCACAACATCTGGCACATGATCCCCAAACAACTTTGATGAACCTTGCAAGTAGGCACATAAAACTGAAAGAAGATACTTTCATTGGGTGCAAATGCTTCAATGCTCTCATCTCACTTTACACCCAGCTTAGGTCCATGGTTTTGTCCACATAATTCCCATTGAGCAAAAACTATGCTGAAACATCATCAGGAAAAAACAAACAAATAAACCAACAAATAAAAACACCAAACTATTTGAAGTGGCCTGTCTTTCTTAAATCAGACTGCTCATCTAAGACAAGATGCAGATGGAAAAATCCTGGATCATGAAGGGGTAGTCTGGTGAAAACCTGGCACTGAAAACTAAAGCTGCTTAAGCAGCAGTATTTCCAGCAATAGGGAGTTAACAAAGTGAGGAAGTCAACCAAAGCCATATACCACTAAATTGGACCTGAACAAACATTTTTCATTCTAGTCTGTTTTGAGAAGCATGACAGCAAAGCAAATTTTGAGTCAAGACTTCACAGCAAGAAGGAGATTCTTTTAAATTATAAACACAAGCAAAAATATGCCATGAGAAAATGACTGGCATTTAATTCTCTTGCCAAATTGAGATATTTTGAAAGTAGTGGAAAAAAGAGCTCCTGACTCTCCAAGGCCACCTTACCTTGTGGTATCGAGCCACCAGTTTCCCCTCCGGGTCAAAGATGACATCAGTGTTGTACTGATAACGACCATCACTGGGGCAGTTGGGATCACTGGAGTTACATGGCTTCTTGTCCCCAATGTTTGCAACCACGTAGATGGAGTTATTCCTGGCCATGCAGCTGAGTCGTTCCTGCACTGGAGCTGGAGCAAATCTGATGTATTTTAGGGAAAAGAAAATGTTAAAAAAACAACCAAGGACTAACAAAAACTGTGCTGTCAGTGGTGTTCATCACTGGAATGCTGAGGCCACACTGGTAGCATCTCCAATCCTGCAGTCATGGCAGGGCAGAGCAGGCAGATACACAGGGTTGCTGCAGCATGCCCTCAGGTTGCTTCCCAAACCTTGGGGTAGGGTCTGAAGCCCTTCCATCAGCATCTGGGGGTACATGACACCCCTGGGCTGCCTGCCAGCACTCCTTGTCACCTGGAACATGCTCTGCAGCAGGCAGATGATCCTAGGGCTGGGAAAGGGCAAGAAAGGAATTATTGGGCAAAGGAAGACACCAACTTGAGGTCACACAGGAGAACATCTTAGCATCTGGCATAGCGGCACCTGAGGACTGTAGCTCTGGGCCCTCAATTCACCAGAGAGGAGCTGTGGAATAGTGCAGCTGATGTAATCAAGGCAATTCATCTTCTTCCACAGATGGGAGCACACAGTCCTCTAGCCATGGCATGAACAGCAGTGGGATATTCATTTCAAGATGTGACAGGCCATGTGCCATAAACTGGCAGTGCCTCTGAAGCACCCCTACCAGGCCAGAAAGAGAGCAGCACCCCCCCCCCCCCCGTGAGGTGGTGGTGCATATGGCTTTGCAAGGTGTGCATGGGGCACACAGGAGGACCATCATCCAAGAGACATATATAGCACCAAGGAACAGGATGTGCCAGACACTGATGAGAGACATTATATTCCCACAAGCTGCTAATATAAACCCTGATTTAGGAGAGTGAAGAGACACATAGAATACCTTCACAAAAACTGTGTGAAGAACTGGAATAAAGACTTGCTTAGACACACTGCCATCCTGCACTTCACATTCACTGAAAGACTATATGTTTTAGCTACTTATGTCTCAGTAAAAATTTGCACATCCTGCACTCCTCTCCATTGTGAATCTTCCTCTCGGGACTGATGAGGAAGTACATCCTCACAGGTGTGATAATGTGCTCTAAGCACCTCATCACTGAGCAGATGCAGAAAGCCATGGTGAAAAACGCAGACCACAGCTGTAGATCCATGGCTGAGCACCTATTGCATGCTGTATGGATCTGAAGTCCAGCGCTCAACTATGGGTTAGCTTGTCCCTTCTGGAATATGATTCTTGAATGACAGATCGTGTTCTACAGCACAGAGACTCTAGCAATTTGGACTTTATCTTATGTTAATTGTGAAAAACTAGGATTAAAAGTTTCTGGGTTTGTAATAATCAGAGGCCTTGACTACTGACCTCATTACCTCTGTTATTAGCTGCTCAGAAACTAGTTATTGGCTGTCCACAAAAATGGTATGTGTGCTCTTGTTTGAACACAGCATTTGTAAAAAAAATCTAATAAACCAACAAAACCAATAAAAACTAGTGTCAAGAACTTACAATCAGTTCTATGCAAAATAGTGTGAAAAAATGAAAGCAGAATGAGAAGCAGCATATTCTGGCATCAAATCTTTCCCATGTGCAAATAAAAGAGGTTTTCTCTACATTCAATAACCCAAATTCTAGAAATTATTTTAATTTCTCTTTAAAGACTCTAATTCAAAAAACATTTTTTTAAGAGGGTGCCCTTATCAATTAGTCATGGAAATGCTATATAATTTATCATGTAACTTATCTTCATATGCAAATTTAATTGAAACTTACCCTCATAACAAAAGCATTTGCAGATCTTAGGCACTTACTGGGAGCAGCTCGCCACTCCATGAGGCACTAGTTTGAAACCACA